TCTCTCACTAGGCAAGAAATTACCCTGGGTCTACTTTACATTTTCGTCTTTTTCTTCTTTATTCTTCTTTGCCTTCTACTCCTACTCCTAACAAGTCAATTAATAGTAACCGTTTCAATAGCCAAAGCTGGACATGTTTGGGTTAGCTGACCGTGGGAATAAAAGCAAAGTAAACTCGGTGTGGGTAATGTTTTAATGTTATTAAATGAACCTAATTTTGCGATTCGCCAGAATCTACAGACCACTGGAAAACTGAACGAGACTAATGAACCAAGGTCAGCTCTGATCTCAAAACATGATCACCTGTAAAAAAAAAAACTCACTTTTCTCGGATGGATAGTTTACCAAATTTTCGTACTCATGGTGCTACGTAGGCGCGTGCCTCACGCTCGCGAAAGCTCCGCTAAATAAACTACCTGTCCTAAACTGCGGCAGACACATTTAGTGGACAAGGCGTAGTTATTTGTCTGCATTGTGTGAACAATTTAAGCTCGGATTAAAACAATAAGTTTCACCAAAAGCAGAAGAACAATGTGCCATTTATCACCACCCTGTCTGCCTCTTCAAAAATTGTTGCAGTGCAACTTCAATAGACAGAGAAAACCATGCAAAAACAGTAATTATGACGGTATTTCCAAACAGTTTGACCAAAAAAAGCTTTACGTCTCATAGTCTCGGGAAAACATCCTAATCAACGTCAGTTGAGAAAGTATATTTTAATTACAGCTTGAGATAGACAAAAACGCTTTCGCATGTGTGGTCTTAAAACATTTAAAAGATTCTGAGAATCGAAACATTTTGGGAACTTCACCTTCGCAAGTCGTCACATAACCATCCCATGTTCCATTAGACTGGCATTTCCGTATAGAGGAACCGCGTAGAATAAATCCTGGGTCACAGCTGAATGTGACAATATTCGGAAATACCGTCAGATTACCAGATATAGAACCGTTCATGGGAGAAGATAGACTACCACAGTTTACAGCTACGATAATAAAAATAAATCCAACAATTACTCAAACTTTCTGGAAACAATTTTCAAGGGCTGTTGCGTACAGTCAGTCACATTCTCCACATATTTCTTCGTACCTTCACAAAAACTTTCGTTTCCACTCCAATTCCCAGTTGACAGACACTGTCTTATTTTCGACCCTCGCAGATTAAAGCCTTCATCACACATAAATTGCAGCTTGTGAGGATATGTAGTCAGATTGCCAACTAAAGATCCATTGCTTGGAGTTTTAAGAGGGCCGCAATCTTTTGCTGTTAAAAAAATGCGGATGATATCAAATTAAGATCATGCTTGCTTGTTTTTATTGATTGCCTTCGATTGGTTGAGAAATCGGGAGTCTTTATCTTGGCTCGGTCTCAAGCCCGCGATTCTCCTCAAATCAAACAAGCTTTTATATTTCATAGCTGACTTTAAGTTTAAAAATATAGAAAAAAATCCTCCATTTTACTTGCTTGGACGGATTCACGAACAAGTAAGTGTTAAGCGAATGGCCTTTAAGAATAGGCTTTAACCCTTGACCATTAAAGTTCTGTTCCATGGATTTCATAGAATGGAAGTTTTTTTTAGGACCCCAGCGTGACTGATAGTATCGAAATCCTTGGACAAATGAATTAATACACAGTCTGTTAAATTTCCGTTTGAGGTTGTTTTCTCATGGCATCAGTAGAGTGAGTAACTGCTAATTCTGTAGAGCGATGACGACCGACGCCATAATGAAACAGAGAGAGAGCAAGCCATTCTGCTACAGACGAGTCATTAATTGCCTATTTTCTCATTAACAGTAACATTTATTTATACCGCGCAAATTCAACTATACAGTTTTCTCGCCTCTCAAGTATTTTAGAAATTGATGGAAGAATGGATAGTGGTCTATAATTATCGATTTCGGCCAATGATCCGGAGACAACCGTGCTGGAGACCGAGCCGCTGCTCTCTCAAGCTTATGTAACTAGTCGTTGTTCAAGTTCACGGTAGTCTAACACTCTGAAAACAATTAGCCCGTGAAAACAACCGACATTTTTCGACGCCAACGCTGTTTTCCCACCGAAACAAAGTCTGAGAAAAAACTGAAGAAATTCCATACTGCTGAATTGAAATAATAATTTAGTGGAAATAAGCGCCATTACTCTGTTAGATTTATGCCGAGAATTAAAAAATACGTTGAAACAATCATTTTTATTATGAGTTTAACCACTACTAGAAATGCAACATGCCGTTTATCGACCGTCCGCCTGTCGGTTAATTATTTCAGTGCAATCTCAATGGGCAGGGCAAACTGTTACAAACGTCCCGAAGTACTGCCAAAGAGTTTGAAGAAAGGTCTCCGATGCAATTGACTGAAGGAAGAACGTTTATTTTCACCACAGCTTAAGAAAAATGGAAACAGGCCTTATACCATTTCGCGAAATCTGTATACTGGATATTGTACCTTCGCAAACCGTCTTATAACCATCCCATGTTCCATTAGACTGGCACTTTCGCACAGAGGAACCACGTAGAATAAATCCTGGGTCACAGCTGAATGTGACAATATTCGGGTATACCGTCAGATTACCAGATATCGAGCCGTTCACAGGAGAATATACACCGCCACAATTTACAGCTACAAAAAGTAATTGCAACGGTTACTCAAAAACTTTACAAGAGCTGTTGCTTGCAATCAACCACATTCACGACAAACTTCTATGTACCTTCACAGAAACTTTCGTTTCCACTCCAATTCCTAGTTGAAAGACATTGTCTTATTTTTGATCCTCGCAGAATGAATCCTTCATCACACACAAATTGCAGCTTGTGCGGATATGTAGTCAGATTGCCAACTAAAGATCCATTGCTTGGAGTTTTAAGAACGCCGCAATCTTTTGCTGTTGACAAAAAGCGGATTATATCAAGTTAGAATCATACCCGAGACGAAGAGTAGATATACTGCAAATAACCGTTTCACTATGGTGGAGAAATCAAGAAAGAATTGTTGTTTTTATTCAGTATTTTATTCAGTTGATACAAATGTAATTTTATCGGCCTTAGAGTTAATGGAGTTAAAATCTCTGCAGGTTTTTCAGAGAATGAGGTAAAGAGCTCTTTTCTAGTTCAGTCATCATTATATCACAACCCTCCTTCACCTCATTCAGTGGAAATTGGTTCAACTCATTGGTCTGCATTTTCGACAATTTGATTTAGGATTTAAACAATCATTTGCACCAAAAGTAAAAAATTATAAGTGTATGTAATTCATTTATCGCCGGACTATGTGTCTGTCTTAATTACTGCAATGAATCCTCAAGTTACAGATAGAAGAATTCGGGCAAGAACGGTCAGTTATGAAGGCTTGTCTAAGGAATTAGACAAAAAAATGTTTCCAAGCGACTTGTGTAAACTTTCCGAATAGCGTCAACCGATAAGTACATTATATTCAAACCCTTTAGGACAAACGAAAACGCTTTCGGAGAAGTGGCCTTAAAACATTAAAAAGAATCTGTGCACCGGACGTTTTAGACATTGTACCTTCGCAATTCGTCTCGTAACCATCCCATGTTCCATTAGACTGGCACTTTCGTACAGAGGAACCGCGTAGAATAAATCCTGGGTCACAGCTGAATGTGACAATATTCGGGTATACCGTAAGATTACCAGATATAGAGCCGTTCATGGGAGAAGATAGACCACCACAGTTTACAGCTAGAAAAGAAAAAATAGCTCTAACAATTACTAAAACTATCTCAACACACTTCTCAAGAGTTGTTGCGTGCAATCAGTAACATTCGCGATTTCACCGTACCTTCACAGAAACTTTCGTTTCCACTCCAATTCCCAGTTGACAGACACTGTCTTATTTTCGATCCTCGCAGAATAAAGCCTTCGTCACACATAAATTTCAGCTTGTGTGGATACGTAGTCATACTACCAAGTAAAGATCCATTGCTTGGAGTGGTTAGAGCACCGCAATCTTTTGCTGTTGAAAAAATGTGGATGGAAAGCCGCAAAGACTTTGATTTCACTATGGCTAACCTTTATTGACTGCCTTCGCTTGGTTGAGAATCGATAAAAAGTGTTGTTTTAATCAGTCTTTTATCTAGGCTCGGTCTCAAGCCGTGGGGCGTCTCGATGCGCCCGCGGTTCATTTCAAATTAAGGCTAGGCGCACGCGTTTGGCCACTTGTCTAGCCAACTATGGCTTTGAGATGGGTTTAGTGCTGAGTTTTGCCCATCCTCGGAGACCTAGGGGCAGATAGTGGGGGCGAGGGAAAGTCTAAACGGGCGGGAAAATATGGCGCGAAGAAAAGTAAAGAACGGCACGAAGAGCCCCTGGGGACAATGTCTTACCAGACCAGTTCCAAACGGTCGCCGCCGTTCTGGCTTCTGATTGGTGCCAGAAAACTTTTGTGTTTTTTTGCCAATCAAAAGGCAGAACGGCGGCGACCGCTTGGAACTGGTTTGGTAAGACATTGTTCCAAGGGGCTCTTCTCGCCGTTCTTTACTTTTATTCGCGCCATATTTTTCCGCCCGTTTAGACTTTCCCTCGCCCCCACTATCTGGCCTGGGTCTCCGAGGATGAGTTTTGCCATGTGGTAAGCCAATTTCACTTCTGGGGGGGTTTCAAGGGTAATTCGCTCTCTAAAAGCGGCTGTATCGAGAGTCTACTTCTTACATCTCGGTCTTTATTCTCCTTTAACTGATATATAGATTTGGCCAGGGCTAAAAGCGAAGCTTCCGTTAATAAATTTATAATTTAAATCAAACAATAAACTCTCCCTGTCGCCACATTGGACCAGCCAAACACTGCTAAATTTAAAGCTGAGCTTGACCGTTTTTATTGACTTTATATTTTTTTAATCGCTTTAGCTCTACTTCTGTGTTAAATAATTAATTTTTAAGCATGTAATGTAACGTTTTTTTCGTTTTTTGTTGTTTTGTTGTAGTTTTATACTAGTATGTAATTGTTATAATCCGCGCGATGGTTACCGCCTTTGCGGATTAATAAAGTAAAAGTAAAGTAAAAGTTAAGTGGTGTAGCTTTGGTCTAATTTTAGCTGAGAGTACGGACACATGATGCTGGAATTGTAGTGCGAATTTCATTTGAGGACAGAAACATTTGGGTTTTCAAATAAATTTTTCAAAAAATAACTTCTCTGTTTATTATTGTGTCCGCGTTCATTCATTCTACAGTAGTAGCACGATCGTGAGACAACAGCATAGCTCATGCATCGCTTCATTGCTGGTTGTGTCGACGAATTTTTGCTATTTCAGTTTGACTTTTAGCTCCATTTCCCTCCACAAATTTCGATACGAAGGCCAAGCTAATTAATTTCTTTTAAAAATTAGTGTTACCTGTTATTCCAAAGAGAATACCGTCAAATTTTCTTATTTCTACTTTAAGTTTACTGCAAAAATTGTCACACAATGAAGATTATTGTGTTAAAGTAGCGCCGTTTTTGAGTTGGTGTTCATAGTTGCAGCTATAGTTTTCCTCCACAGTATTTACCCTAACATCTAGAGCAAGTAGACAGCGCCATAAAGAAAAACAAAAAACAAACGTTTCACAGTTTACCTTAACACGTAGAACGGTTGATTAAGCGAAAGAAAAACTTCAAAGGGAAGTTTTTGAAAGGCATGATTTGTTTACGCGCCGGCAGATGACAGAACACATCAGCTTGTTTATGATACCGATGACTGACTCGACCGAAGGCAAAAGAAAATGTTTTCTCTTTTAATTATGTTGTAAAAAAATGATAAACGTTGCAGCTGTGCAACCATCGAGTTATGGATGCACTTGGGAGGTTTGCTTAGCACTCAACAAGCTAGAGTTGCTCTCGGCTACGCATCTCGCAACTGTTATGCTTCGTTCGTGCTTAGCAACATCCTGGGTGCATCCATAACTCGATGTTTGAACGCTACCATTTCTTAAATGTACACTCAAAAAATAGCAATCATCTTCTATCACAGTCAAGAGCTATAATGGCTCTTGATCACAGTAGATTAGGCCTGGAAAACAAATTCTTCCCAAACAAAATAACCCGGTCGCGCCCAACTACAACACCTTTATTTTATAAGGTTAATTGGACAGCCCCGAAATGTAATTTTATGCTACGAAGGCCGGTTGTAAGACACGATAGTCCTTGATGGCAGCCAATTTACACGTTGTAATTTCTAGGTTGCATTCCTCAGTCTAAAAGGGAGGCCAAAATAAAACGTCAGGCCGGATTTTTTGTATTCAACAAGATTAGTTTACAAATCTTGCCGACAAATCTGGTGGCGTGTAAACTAGCCTTTAATACTTTGTATACATCACATCTGAGGTACACAGTACCCTGTGGCGCTTTTTTTTTTTTTTTTTTTTCTCATACAGACCTCGGACAGAAAGCAGTTTTTCACAGTTTTGCAAGAAAAATTGCACTCATTCAAAATTCAGGACGATCGAAGCACGCGCTTCCTTTGCACAACAAGTATAGAATTGACCAGGTTCATGAAGAGAATTCCATAATTTCGAGGACTGTTCAATGAGAACAATCTGCTCCTATGTGGTATGCAAGGCAGTGATGGGCTTTTAGCGAAAAAAAAATTCCAAAATTACCTACGTTTGACAAGTGCAGACGAATTTGAACTGAACTGCATTTATTCCAGGTCTGAGGCTCGTTTCCAAAGTAACAACACTCCAATTTCTTTAAGATTACACAGGATTTTGCAGATTCCGTAGACTCACGAGGTTCGTATTCATCACGATGGCTAACAAAAACACAACACGTTTTTCGGATCTCTCCCTGGACAAGTTCCGAGCTCCTAATAAACCTTTATATAGAGAGAAAACCGTTTACATAAAAACCCATAAAACGGCCATAAATCGGCCCGTGGCACCACACAGGAGAGACGTGACACACATTTCAAGTAAGGTAAGCTGTTTTTTATTGAAATCCTTTCATTTTCGTAGGTTGCAGAAACGATACGGTTTTTTTCCCATACAAATCCTTATATTTTGAATGTTACGCAACAATGCCGATGCTCGCCGATGCTCATATTTCGAGCTTGGGCTACCTGTGGGGAAACCAACCGCACTATCCGCTGGCTAGAGATTTATCCACCGGATAGCTCTATCCACCTTTTGAACAACTGGGGCCTGGACCAGAAGGCTGCTAAGTCAGTATGGCCTGTAAACGACTTTGTGATACGTTTTGCTCTCTAACCAGACAGTGACCAGAAAATGGCTCGACTAGCCTCAAAACGCGTTTTCCTGCATATTTCCAAGGGGCGATTGGGTTGAAGAATGCGCGGAAACAATCATTTTTATCACGAACGCAAAATCCCGTTGCTCGACCGTCCGCCTGTCGGTTAATAATTGTTACAGTACAGTTTTAATGGCCGGAGAGTCGGCAAGACATTGCCAAAGAATTTTAAAGGTCCTCATGACTCACCTAAATTTCATAATTAACTAAAATTAAGAAAGCATATTATTCTCAAAAGAGCTTATAACATTTCAAAGAGTCTGCCCACTGTACGTTTTAGGCATCATACCTTTGCAAACCGTCTCATATCCATCCCATGTGCCATTAGACTGGCACTTTCGTAAAGAGGAACCACGTAGAATATATCCTGGGTCACAGCTGAATGTGACAATATTCGGGTATACCATCAGATTACCAGATATCGAGCCGTTCATGGGAGAAGATAGACCACCACAGTTAACGGCTACAAAAGCAATAAATTATATATCAGTTCTCACGGGCTACTGCTCAAAATCACGTTCTCTACAAATTTCTTCTTACCTTCACAGAAACTTTCGTTCCCGCTCCAATTCCCAGTTGACAGACACTGTCTTATATTTGATCCTCGCAGATTAAAGCCTTCGTCACACATAAATTGCAGCTTTTGTGGATACGTGGTCAGATTGCCAACAAAAGATCCATTGCTTGGAGTTTTAAGAGGGCCGCAATCTTTTGCTGTTAAAAAGGCGTACAATATCAGGTTAAGATCAAATACGTAAAGTAGATGGGCTGTCGAATACTATTTTGAAATAGAATCGCTTTATCGTGCTTGCCTTCGTTTGATTCTTTTGGTTCAGAAATCCAGAAAAAAAGTGTCGTCAATTCATTCATCAGTGTTCTAACCAGCGCTTACATCAAAATGCTATAGCTTTCTTGAATATACTGCCAAAGACTATCAACAAGGGTCCCTATGACTTGCCTAAGGTTCAAAATGAACTAAAAGGAAAAATATATGTTTTTCCAATGCTTGCGAAAGACAGAAACACTTTGGTAGGCGTGGCCTTATCACATTTTATGGAATCTGCCCACTGAACTTTTCACATATTATACCTTTGCAAGCCGTCTTATAACCGCCCCATGTTCCATTAGACTGGCACTTTCGTACAGAGGAACCACGCAGAATAAATCCTGGATCACAGCTGAATGTGACAATATTCGGGTATACTGTCCGATTACCAGATATAGAGCCGTTCATAGGAGAGGATAGACCGCCACAGTTAACAGCTAAAAAAGTAGAAGCAATTGCAACAATTACTAGAACCATCTCTAAACACCTCTCAAGGACTGTTGCTTACAATGAATCGCATTCCCGTTGTATTTTTCGTACCTTCACAGAAACTTTCGTTTCCGCTCCAATTCCCAGTTGACAGACATTCTCTTATTTTCGATCCTGGCAAATTAAAGCCTTCGTCACACATAAATTGCACCTTGTGTGGATATGTAGTCAGATTGCCAACTAAAGATCCATTGCTTGGAGTTTCTAGAACGCCACAATTTTTTGCTGTTGGAAAAGAAGCAGATTGTAGCCCAGTTAGCATCATATCGAAAACCAAGAGAAGATGTACTGCCAAAGAATGTTTTTATGATGGCTTCTTCTTCGTTTGGTTTGTTTGCTAGAGAGTGCTTTTTACTCTATATTCTTTTTAGCCAATATTTTATCAGGGCTTACACAACATGGAAATAAAATATAACAGGTTGGGATGAATAGTCCCTTTTTCTAACATTATGTAACAACCGCCAGTCCTTAACGTCTGCAGCAGTAACCTCATTCAGTTGACATAAGCGCCATTATTCCCCAGCGCAATAAGCGAGAGATCTTGGCGTGATTTTAAATCCGAACGTAACATTTGATAACCATATAACGACTTCAGTGTCGGAATGTATCACACGTCTGGCGCAAATTAACCGGGTCAAACATTGCTTAGACAAAAATACGTTGTTAACCGTAATACATGCCTTAGTCTTCAGCAAAATGTACTACTGTTCGAATGGTTGGGCAAATACCACAAATAGGAATGTTAGAAAATTGCAAGCCGTTCAAAACTTTGCTTGCCGAATCGTCAGCAGTGCGAAAAAATATGATCACGTAACACCCCTCTTAAAAAGCCTGTCTTGGTTGCATGTTAAGGACCAACTGTACTATCGCCAAGCTATTATGGCCTAGCTTTAAATGCATGACCGGTCAAGCCCCCGAATATCTTACATCCCAATTTATTACCCGCGAGCAAGTTAGCGAACGAACAACTCGGAGTAGACAAAAGCTAAACATCCCTCGCCTAAAGGCCCGGGAAATTATTAGGATTTGGACAAAACGCGCGTGAAATTATTCCCTAATTTCACGAGTATACCATTTGATTACCTGTTAATATCATGGGTGACGAATTACGTTAGCAATCTTGGATTTTTGACATGTTTATCCTGGATCGCATCGATCGAGAACTCCACTCTCTCAAATGTTTAGACTTTAAATTTGGCTCATAAAGTTCAGAATTTTTCAGACTTTTTCGGCAAAATACCTGTTAGAATCCTTCTTGATGTTCTCTTGTGTGTTCAGGTTTTATAAAGCGTCTTTTTTTGCCCTGACATCTTCATTCACGGCATTTTAAAACTTCGTCGCCATCTTGACACTGAGACGTACGGAACGGTTGCCATGGCAATTTTGTAATTTCACATGTGAAATTACAAATTAACGGTAAAATGTCGCGCCAAAATTAAGGAGTAATTCGTCACCTATGATATTATGTAATATAATCTTTGTTCCTGAAAAGCCCCTTTGGGAAGGTAACAATAAAGTATGTATGTATGTATTATTTTATTAGCTTTGTGTCGACAATTAAAGAGCAGCCATTTTCACCGCAAAGTAGAGAAGCAATATGCCGTTTATGTATTACAGTGTAATTTCAATGGCAGAGGAAACTGGCATAACAGTCATAGAGCTATTCCCAAAGAAATTTGAAAAAGGGTCTTCATGACTCGCCTAAACATAACTGAAATGAGTAAAGTATATTAGTAGTAGTATAATAGGGATGGGATTAACCTTTTCTGCGGTGGAATTTGATTAATTTGCAGTGGTATATATTAACACCGATGACGTCATAGCTTTTTGTCTTTATCTCTTGAACATAATGGGGTGGAATCTCGTAAAGATAAGGTCATATGCTATTTTTAGGTGGTTTTAACAAGACTGACAGGTTTAAGATGGATGACGCCGTGCCCTTTTGTCTCTATCTCAAAAATAAAAACGGGTAGATTCTCATTAATTATTTTACCTTTTGAGTATTTCTGATACAATAGAAACAATACACACAGCCAACCTTGATTGGTTTTAACCTGTTGTCATTTTCTATTTTCATTTAACCGGTTCGACAGATTTTCGTTTAGACATAATACCTTCGCAAGTCGTCTTATAACCATCCCATGTTCCAGTAGACTGGCACTTTCGTACAGAGGAACCGAGTAAAATAAATCCTGGGTCACAGCTGAATGTGACAATATTCGGGTATACCGTCAGATTACCAGATAGAGAGCCGTTCATGGGAGAAGATAGACCACCACAGTTTACAGCTAGAAAAGTAAACATGATTCCAAAAATAACTAAAACGATCTAAAAACAATTCTCAGTTATCTTACAATCAATCACATTCTCGACATATTTCTTCTTACCTTTACAAAAACTTTCGTTTCCGCTCCAATTTCCAGTTGACAGACACTGTCTTATTTTCGATCCTCGCAGATTAAAGCCTTCATCACACATAAATTGCACCTTTTGCGGATACGTAGTCAGATTGCCGACAAAAGATCCATTGCTCGGAGTTTTAAGAGGGCCACAATCTTTTGCTGTTGAAAAATGTGGATTACATCGATTTATGATCAGATTCAGGACGTACAGTAGATGGGTTGCCTTAACACTATTTGTCAATGGCCATTCATGATTGTTTTCCTTAGCTTCGTTTGGTAGGGAAAATGTTATCTTACCTCAGTGTTCTGTTCAGCCCAGTGATACTTGATCAGCCTTAGTTTTACACCCTAAAAACAATCTGTTTACCACAGTTTGGTACAAACAGTCCTTTCAGTGAAATTTCCCCATCCCAGCCTGCAGCTGAATCAACATCATTCCATACCGACATGGCTCTCTTTATTTTGTCTGCTTTGAGACGACAATTAGAGAATGTATTGAAACAATCATTTTCGCCAAAACTCGAAACGCAATATGCGATTTATGAACCGTCCGTCCGTGCGTTTATTCATGCAGTGCAATCTTGGCGTTAGGTCAACGAAGAAACGTTTTTTCTTCTCAATGTTGAGACAGGCTGAAACGCTTTTGCAGGCGTGGCCTTAAAACATTTAAGAGAACCTGCACATGTCCATTGGGAATTTTATGCATTATACCTTCGCAAGCCGTCTTATAACCATCCCATGTTCCATTAGACTGGCACTTTCGTACAGAGGAACCGTGTAGAATAAATCCTGGGTCACAGCTGAATGTGACAATATTCGGGTATACCGTCAGATTACCAGATATAGAGCCGTTCATGGGAGAAGATAGACCACCACAGTTAACAGCTACAATAGTAAAAATAAATCCAACAATTACTAAAACTTTCTCAAAACACTTCTCATGGGCGTTGCTTAAAATCAATCATCATTCATCAATCACATTCTCGACGTGTTTCGTCGTACCTTCACAGAAACTTTCGTTTCCGCTCCAATTCCCAGTTGAAAGACACTGTCTTATTTTCGATCCTCGCAGAATTAAGCCTTCATTACACATAAATTGCAGGGAGTGCGCACCCCCCATTGAGATGACCTGCGGTTTTCTAATACAACTGGTATTCTGCCTAAAGAAAACTATGTGGTTTATTGGTGTTGAAGTAGAGCAAGAGACGAGTGCACCCCCCCCTAAAAAAGATCCTGGATCCGCCCCTGAATTGCACCTTGTGTGGATAGGTAGTCAGATTGCCAACTAAAGATCCATTGCTTGTAGTTCTTAAAACATTTAAGAGAACCTGCACATGTCCATTAGGGATTTTATGCATTATACCTTCGCAAGCCGTCTTATAACCATCCCATGTTCCATTAGGCTGGCACTTTCGTACAGAGGAACCGTGTAGAATAAATCCTGGGTCACAGCTGAATGTGACAATATTCGGGTATACTGTCAGATTACCCGATAGAGAGCCGTTCATGGGAGAAGACAGACCACCACAGTCTACCGCTAAAAATGTACGGGACAAATTGAATAATTAGCAAAATTACAAAACAGATACTTACTGGATTTTTTATGCATTCTTAAAATTAATCACATTTTCGTGATCTTTCAGTTTATCCCATACAGATAGTGTTATTTCTATTCCATGTCCCAGCTGACCTGCAGGTACATTTAATCACTTGTCACACAGACATTTCATATCATGCGGATTAGGACAGAAAGATGTTACCTAATGTATGACAGTCCTTGGTTAATGATATCAAATAGAAAAGAAGTATATTATATAAACTATTATTATAGGGCACCTGATATAACAATAATATCTTTGAAAAATAGGAAGGCATTAAGGCCCCGTTTACGTGGGGAAAACTTCAACCCGTCAAGAGAAGAGTCATTCATCTGTCGCTAACGTTGACTCTCTTTCCAAAGACAACATTTTTCTATACAAGTGGGACATAATATGGTCATTCAATTACCAATTTATATCGACCCTACTGAGATTTTCGCTACTTTCTTGATAGTTTATTATATAAACTTATACCTCTTAAGATCTTTCTCTTCACCCACACTCAAAGTATCGTTTCCACTCCAGTTCCCAAGTGAGTAAATAATTATGTCAAATAAGTGACCAAATTATAAATAAATCTGTGTGGATTATAATGATATTTGCAACTTTCCAGACATCCCCCTTCTTACCTTCACAATAAGTTTTGTCTCCGCTCCAATTTCCATTTGACATACACTGTCTTACTTTGGAGCCTCGCAGAATGAAACCTTCGTCACAAATAAATTTTATAACTTGTGGATATGTAGTCAGGTTTCCAGATAAAGAGCCATTGGTTGGTGCTTTAAGTGCGCCACAGTCTTTTGCTGGTGATACCAAAGAGAAAGCAGAAAAAGAAATATAAATATTGTATTAAATGATAGACTGTTTATATAGGGTATGGGCTATGTTCATGAAACTCTTACCTCCTCTATCGGCTACCTTAACGTTCAGCAAATGGGTAGCGTACAGAATCAATACCGAAGAACAAGTTTCCCCTAAATCAGGTCGATAGTTGCAGAATAAAAATCAAATGAATTTTATACGAAACCATAATTCCTGTCTATTGTAGATCGACATGGACTAGATTTCTTGAGAAAAAACTAACCCTAACATACCAGCCCCTTTAAGACCAGAAACGCACACAAACACACAAAAAAGTGAAATGATCATGTAGGAGTAGACTAGAATGCTAAGAGGAACAATAACAGTCGTAGAATGAGTGCATGACAGTAAGTGACAACCAGGCCAACGAAGGTATGAGTGAATGAAACCTTGAGAAAGATGAAAACACTCTTGCAAGCGTTGCCTTATCACATTTAATAATATCTGTCCACTGAATTTATAATAATACCTTCGCAATTCGTCTCATAACCGTCCCATGTTCCATTAGACTGGCACTTTCTTACTGAGGAACCACGTTGAATAAATCCTGGGTCACAGCTGAATGTGACAATATTCGGGTATACCGTCAAATTACCAGATATAGAGCCATTTAGGGGAGAAGATAGTCCACCACAGTTTACAGCTACAAAAGTAATAATAATTGCAACAATTATCAAAACTATCTCAAAACAATTCTCAAGGGCTGTTCCTATCACATTGTGGATATTATCTCTTCGTACCTTCGCAGAAACTTTCGTTTCCGCTCCAATTCCCAGTTGACAGACACTGTCTTATTTCCGATCCTCGCAGTTTATAGCCTTCATTACACATAAATTGCAGCTTGTGAGGATATGCAGTCAGATTACCAACCAGAGATCCATTGGTTGGAGTTTTCAGAGCGCCGCAATCTCTTGCTGTTGAAAAAAATGCGGATAATATCAAGCTAAGATCATACGTCTGATACTTTCGGTATACAGGCTGCCTAACACTATTTCACAATGGCTTCGCTTTATTGATTGCCTTCGTTTGATTCGTTTGGTAGACAAATCCAGAAAAAAAGTGCCGTCTTCCATCACTGTTCTTATCAAATCATACTTCAATACTACTTCAAGCAGTTCAAAACTCTGAAAATAATCTGCTTTTCACTGGTTGGGATAAAAAAATCCCTTCACTCATTAACTTATAGAGGAGCTCTCGCGCGCGAAGCGCGCCAGCGGAGCACCATGGGTAAGAAAATTGGGTAACCTATCCATCCGAGAAAATTTGGTTATGACGTAGCGTACGCCCGCCCACACGTACACACACTTCATGTAAGCCGATGTCAAGTGTCACACTTGTCAGGAGCGAGAAATAAATAACAACGGAGACTAATTTCGTTGAAAGAAAAACATGGAAATTATATAGCGGCCGTTAGAAAACGAGAAATGCTAGCGGCTACTAATGTGAAAAAGGAGCCGCAGTGAAAAAACAGAGTGAACAGGAACACAAACATTTTCTCCATAAAACGCGTAAATAGGAAGCTAAAAGAAGTTTCAGGTACGTGTAAAACAACGGTTAGGAAATGTACAAAAAAAAACTGCTGCACGTGCAGAGTTGCTTTTTGCTAATTAGAAAAAAAAGCGTGCTGCACGTGCAAAGTTGTTGTTTTGCTAATTAGATCTATTTTTGTTGTTTTTACCGTTCTCGTTGCTTTCATCTTGTCTTTAGTATTACTCAATTTTATATTTTCTTTGAGGAATCTATAAATATTAAAGAGAGCTTCGCTTTTAGCCCTGGCGAAATCTATATATATTAATGACATGTCCTTAACCGTTACTTTGTTAGCTTTGTCTATAAAATTAAAGAATGCGCCTTAAAACGGCAATCATTCTCACCAGAAAGTAGAAAAACAGTATGCCGTTTAACAACCGTCTACCTGTCGGTAAACTCTTTCAGTGCAATTTCAATGCACAGAGCAAACTGCTAAAACATTATGAACATTCTGCCAAAAAACTTGAAAAAAAGGGTTCCATAACTCGCCTAAAGTCCCCAAAGAATAAAATGAAAAAAGTTTTTGTTTATCCAAAGCTTACGAATGAAGGAAACGCTTTTTCAGGCGTGGTCTTGTCGCATTTCATAAAATCTTTCCACTGGAGGTTTTACGCATTTTACCTGCGCAAGCCGTCTTAAAACCATCCCATGTTCCATTAGACTGGCACTTTCGAATAGAGGAACCGCGTAGAATAAATCCTGGGTCACAGCTGAATGAGACAATATTCGGGTATACCGTCAGATTACCAGATATAGAGCCGTTCAAGGGAGAAGATAGACCACCACAGTTAACAGCTAGAAAAGTAACAATAATGGCAATAATTACTTGACCTGTCTCAAAGGAATTCTCAAGGGCTGTCGCTTGCAGTCTATTCTCGACATATTTCTTTTTACCTTCACATAAACTTTCGCTTCCGCTCCAATTTCCAGTTGACAGACACTGTCTTATTTTCGATCCTCGTAGATTAAAGCCTTCATCACAGATAAATTGCACCTTGTGCGGATACGTAGTTAGATTTCCAACTAAAGATCCATTTCTCGGAGTTTTAAGAGCGCCACAATCTTTTGCTGTTGAAAAAAGGTCATTATGTCAAGATAGAATCACGTCCCACACGTGCAGTGAATGAGCTGCCTAAGACTATTTGACTAGGGCTTCTCTTTATTGCGTTCCTTCTTTTGCTTCAGTTTTGTAGAGAAATTGAAAAATAGTGTTCTCTTACCTTAGTATCCATTGGAATTATACTTTAATCGCCCTTATAAAGTTCAACGAAGAAACGTTTTTTCTTCTCAATCTTGAGACCGGCTGAAACGCTTTTGCAAGTGTGGCTATATTCAAATTGGACTGTCCATTGAAGGTTTGAGGTATCATACCTTAAATATGATTAAGCGTCTGATAAAACCATTTTTAAGGGTCAGACACGATACAACCTAAATATCTGATTACTACATACCTATTTCACTCAACATACCTATATCGTTAAAACACACGTCTTTTTTCTTTAATTTTAATTTTAAGTTTAATTTTCTTTAATTTTAAATTTCTATTTCTTATAAGCCCGTTGACTTCTCGAAAATTTTTCCGCCACAGGAACTCCTTCCCAGGAGTGTGTACTAATTTTAATTTAATGTTATTTACCTATTTATTATTTTTTTTTATTCTACCTGCTGTAATTTATTCTGTATGGCAAAATAATAAAATTTTAAGAAACCTTTGCAAACCGCCTTATAACCATCCCATGTTCCAGTAGACTGGCACTTTCGTACTGAGGAACCAAGAAGAATAAATCCTGGATCACAGCTGAATGTGACAATATTCGGGAATACCGTCAGATTACCATATACAGAGCCGTTCAAGGGAGAAGATAGACCACCACAGTTAACAGCTGAAAATATAAGGAACAAATCGAATAATTAGCAAAATTACAAAAAAATTAGCTATTAGATTTTGAAGGCATTTTAAAATTTATCACATTCTCTACACCTTTCTTTGTCCCTCTGCATATAGAGTTATGACACTTTCACTTTTGGTTATGGTGGTGGATTTAATAGGTCTTATCACGGTTACTTATCACGGTGAGAAATTACAGTGTTTGTATGAGAATCCAATGTCGAATAATTTCCGTAAAACGGCTATTCTGAAAAAAATATGAACTGTAAACTAAAGCTACACAGCAAAGAATTTTACTATCAAATTTTGGGAGCCGTTATTGTGCTTAAATTTCTCCAGACGATTGCTTCAGATTTTCCACATATTTGTCTGCAATTTTTTCCCGGGAAACGTTTACAGGCAAATGTATAGAAAATTTTAAAAAGTGGTTCTAACGCATATAGCTGCATGTAACGACCTCAAATTTTTTCAGAAGAATCGTTAGGAGTGAAAATTTAGTTTTCAATTCATATTTTTTTCAGAACAGCCGTTTTACGGAAATTTTTGGACATTAGATTCTCATACAAACACTGTAATTTCTCACGCGGTTGCCTACTCGTCAAAACCGTGATAAGGCTGATTCCTCGTCACACAGAAATTTTATAATATACGGATATGTACAGGTGCCATCTTGTACATTACGGCGTCGCTAAGGGTAGTAATATGTAATTGAAAAGTTTATAGTCTATATAACACACCTGATAAAATAATAACATTTTTAGGTGTGCTTTTACGCAACAACTATACAAACATGAACAAAGGTCTCAGTTCAGTAGCTAGCAGTCACTTTGACAATGACGCCTTTTATGTTTTAATCATCAATAGCATATTTAACTGAAATTGTAACGGCCAAAACAAGTCTTCCTTGCAAAAAGAATTGTCTATTTCTCTCTTATTTTACATGTCGTTCTCTTCTATTTATACTGATCAAGCGAAGATCTTCAACCCTTGCTCTTTGTTTTTCCTTTTACCTTCACAAAAGGTCATGTTTCCGCTCCAATTCCCAGTTGACAGACACTGTCTTATATTTGATCCTCGCAGATTAAAGCCTTCGTCACACATAAATTGCACCTTTTGTGGATACGTGGTCATATTACCAAATAAAGATCCATTTGTTGGGGCCTTGAGTATACCACAGTTCCTTGCTGTTGACGTCGAATAAAACAAAATCTGTTGAGTTTCTGACCCCGTGAGGATAAAATTAATAATTCATTTATATAGCAATTATTTATTCATTTTCTAAGCTTGTCAAAACATATTACGAGCATAGAAGCTCCGGCATACGGCTGGTGCTTATCCCTGATCTAAGGATAAGGACTTCTTCCCCTGCCGCAACGGTATGCTAGTCCGCTGCCATTGCAAAATGTTAGCGGTTCTTAAAAATAGGATTGAATGGAAAAGGTCACTTCAAGAACAGATGCCACAGCTGATGCCAGCATGACCATAGCTCAAACCTGGATCTCCAGTATGAACTGCTAAAGGTGTTATAGGCGGTCACGGTTTTTTCAGTGACCATTTTCGTAAACTACGAGCTTTGAACTACGTGGAATCAATCGGTCAGCCGATGCAAAAAAAGGACTAGATTACTAATAGTGATTGTTTTCCTTATTGTCGGGTAATCTCCTCCTCTCCTATAAAGTATGCCACAGTCAACAGAGAGAGAACGGATAGTTCAGTATGCAATGCAACTACAAGCTCAAACTAAATAGCCTGCTGTGTACGGCCCCCCCCCCAACTTAAAAAAAAAAAAAAAAAGATTTTGTTTGAGGGGATGAGGCGGCTTTACACAGGCTAAACCAACATAACGAGTCACATACTAAAATAAAAATAACAGTATATTGATACTTACGTTTGCAGCGAGTCTCAGCCTCGTTTCCACTCCATGTTCCATTAGCTTGACAGCTTCTCAAGGCAGGACCTTCAATTTCATATCCATCTTCGCAAGAATATGTTATCGTGTTCGGGTATCTCGTGGATTCTCCTACGACTGAGCCATGTTCTGGCACAGTTGGCTTGCCGCAGTTTATGGCTTGAAAATGAGAGAGGAATGCAACGCTACGCATGACGACCGATTATTAAATGGCACGAACTTCACTAATGTGTTGAAGAAGAAATTCAGCGCAACACACCGCCCGTAGATGAGCTTGGAGCTCACCAATGAGAAAACTACGGCAAAATATACTAGTTGTCCGTACTTGATGTATAACGTTCAGTTCGTTAAACAGATGTTAGGCTAGTTTTGCTGCTTAAAATATAGACCGAAATCAGGTTAAAAACATATAAATTTAATAAGCGTTAATAAACTAGTGTGTCTTTCAAAGCGACTGTGCGTAACGTAGAAGTCTTCTGTAGTAAAAACGAAATGACGATTATTAACCCCGAGATCGGTTGGAATGTTTCGAAAAACTGGAGATTGAGTGGACGAAGAAAGGATCTTTAACACAGACAGACGGACGGACGATCGAAGCAATTTGAATTGTAATGAGTGTTTGTCAACCCATGAGACTGTTTGAACAAAATCTCAGCTATCCCTTATTACTTTGTTTTGGAGTTTTTCGTTTTGGGAAAAACATTTTTTTTGTTCAAAAGGTTAAATCAGGATTCAGGAGCCCGAAAGATGCATTAAGTTTTAAGTAAGTACACATGAATTTGTTACCTTCACAAAAAACGCTTTCCCCACTCCAGGTTTTGTCTGCTTGACATTTTCGACGGAATGGTCCACGCACAATGAAACCTTCATCACAGCTAATCTCCACTTCGTTCGGGTAAGTGGTTTCGTTACTCAGCAGAGATCCGTTCATTGGAGGAGAAAGCCTTCCACAATCAACAGCTTTATCAGAGAAACAGAAGATCAATGAGGACACCTTTACATACATCTAAACTTTACAAAAATAATTCCTATAACCGATGCGATTTAATTTTATACCCTAACGATAACCGAGTTGTACAGAAATAAACGGTACATGTCTAAAGAAAACATAGAGAGTGGCAGAGATTCAAAATAAAATGCCGCTATGGATATTCACTCTTGATGTATGCTCACATTTACCTAGTCCCTAGGCCTCATTATTGCGCCCGTCAAATCCGTTTCGGGTCGCGTTCGCCTCGGATACATCACCGCAGTGAGTTGACCGAGAAGGCCTGGGAAAACGCCGCACAGGGACAAGACAATGGTCAGATGATAATTTCTCCCACACTCCCTTTTCTGTAGATAACCACTGACCAATTATTCACAAACATCGTGACAATAGAGGATGAATTTTTAAGTGCTCAAGTGTTTTTTTTTTTCTTTTTTTTTTTTTTTTATCAACCGGTTAACATGGGAAGTAACATTTCCAGCTGGCTGATATGCAACCTTGGCGAATTCGAAAACAATCTTCCGTAAGCTTATATCAACAAAAATAGTCAATAAGATAAATTGTTGCGCTTTTTTTTCTTTAAACTGAACTTAGTATATAGATCTATAATCAAATGCTTCTCCTTAACCCAGCTTGCAAAATGCAAAATTTTCATGCTTGTTTTCCGCTTCATTCAAGGTTATAAAAATCAAGTTGTAATAAATGGTGAAGTAAGAAGATATAACGAAGAGACAAAATTCTCTGTTACTCCGAGTTTCGTGCTCACGCACTCATCAGACAGTATTTAATGGAGAATAAACCTTTTATATAAATGGTGAAGTAAATTATTGTGATATTCAGGTTTATTACCAGCACAGGACGCATCAGTTCCATTCCACTGTCCATTCGCTTGGCACTTTCGACGGTGGGAACCACGCAATATGAATCCTTGATCGCAATAAATATCCACATAGCTAGGGTAGGTTGATTTATCACCTGTTATCGAGCCATTCACTGGTGCAGAAATCTGTCCGCAATCAACAGCTTTGGGAAATAATCATGGAAAACAGAACAAGTTTAAACACCCTTCTACACACAATAATTAACGAGGTCTACAAAAAATATATCTAACTGCAAATTTTCCGTTTATGTTTAGCTGTCTGTTTGTTTATTCATTCCTAAGCGCTAAAGCCGCAGGCGGTGCCGACCAATAATATTAACCTATTATTAGAAGAGAAATTCTCAGGGAGTCGTATATCTGGTAAAAGTGGATAAATCTTTGCTAAACGTAGTTAATGCGATGAAATGTTAACAGTCAAAAAGGTCTAGCCTCCCACGCAGACGTTCTTAGAGGATCGTCCCGCGTTCCGGCCTTGACGAACCCTTAAGAATGTCTGCGTAGAAGGCTATCAAAGGTCATCAGCGTACCGATAAAGGTCTATTGTCAGTTTATTGACCACTATCCTTACCTTCACACTTGGCTTCTCTTCCACCCCATTTTTTGTCTGAGGTGCATATTCTTGTTTCACTTCCGACCAAATTATAGCCTTTGTTGCATTTGAATTTGATCACACTTCGAAACTTTGTTTCATTTCCGCTGGACCAGCCATTCACAGGTTGTGGTGGCAAACCACAGTCTACAACTGATATAAAAGAAAGACATATCCTTGGAGTCACTAATAATACACAAAAATGGTTCACGCGAGGACGACTGAAAAACCGTCTCTTTTCTTAAAAAGGAGTTTATGGGTCTGCCACATTTACATCAAAGGCTGGTTATGAACTTTTGGGCGCCAATTTTTTAACATGCTAAAGTTTACTTTGTTCTATGCATTTTTCTGTCATTCTGTCTATTTCTCCGTTAATTTTTAACAGAACTAGGCTAAAAAATATTTTTTAAGAGTATTCTTAAACGCGCCAGCGGTGTCCTTTTTTCGCATGTCAAAAGGAATCCCAATCCACAGCTTATTTATTTATTTATTTATTTATTATTTTCCCACAATAAAGATTACACAAGCATTACATTATACAAAGATGTGGCGAGGGGACCTCAGAAAACCACAAGGCTTGTACGAGGAGGCCCCCTCGTTACAATAATATTAAGCAATAGAACTATAACAACACACAACAACGGACAGTACAAGACGCATTATCGATATAGTAGAAAATCAAAAACTTTCGTTTTAAACGATTGCAATGTAAAAATCGAAGTGACTGAGTTTGGTAAAGAATTCCAAATTTTAGGGCCTTGGAACAAAATAGAAAATTGTTTGGTGTTAGTTCGGCAGGCATGAGAACGGAAATGCGAGGAACTTCTAGTATTATAATTATGAATATTGCTACTAGTAACAAAAAGGTTCGAAAAAAGCGGTGGCAGTAATTGATGATAATATGAAAACATAAATTGTGCAGTATAGAATGAATTAATGTTGTATATGTCCAAAATCTTTAAACGGAAAAATAATGGTTCAGAGTGCGCGCGAAAATCTGCATTTGTAATAATTCGTACTGCTCGCTTTTGTAGAAGAAAAATTCTATTAAGGTTTGTTACATAAGTGGAGGACCAAACTGTGGTACAATATGTTAAATAAGGATAAATTAAGGTATAATAAAGAGACTTTTTTTGTTGTTTCAGAAAGAAAGAAACGAGACCTAAACATGACGCCAATAGATTTTGAAATTTTCTTACATATATAAGTAATATGCGGCTTCCACGTTAGATGCTCGTCGATAAAAACCCTAAAAATTTAACTACCTTTACTTGTTTTAATAAAACCTCATCGTACAAGACAGGATTTATTGGGAAGCCGACTGGTTTTTGCCTTGCTGCAAAAATGATATAATTAGTTTTCGTTATGTTAACAGAGAGCTTATTTGCTTTCATAAAAGATCAATTTGAGATAAATCATTATTTACGGCAGAAATAGCACAATTTAAATCGGGATTAGAATAAAACACACTAGTATCATCTGCAAAAAGCATAGTTTCAGCAAGACGAGTAGCACAAGGGAGGTCATTGATATACAAAACAAACAATAATGGTCCTAATATAGAACCTTGAGGGACTCCACAGCTCAGAGTCAGCCTAATAGAACAAGTCTCTTTGTACTGGACAAACTGCACGCGATTTGACAAATAGCTTTTCAACCAGCTAAGTGCTAGCCCATGAATCCCATAATGCTCAAGCTTAGACAAGAGTATTTGATGGTCTAAAGTATCAAATGCTTTTGATAAGTCTAAGAATATGCCAACTGTATATTCGCTTCTGTCAATAGCAGTTGCAATTTTATTAATAAGATGAATTAAAGACAGCGCTGTAGAATATTTTTACGAAACCAAATTGGCAACAGTATAAGATATCTAAACGATCTAAAAAATTTGTAATACGATTGTGCATAACTCTTTCAAAGAATTTAGAAAAATTAGAAAGAAGCGAAATTGGACGGTAGTTAGTGAAATACTGGGAATCATCAGCTTTAAATACCGGAATCAGTTTAGCAATTTTCAGTTCATCAGGAAATACTCCTTTAATAAGAGACAAATTGATTACATTGGCCAAAGGCTGAGAAATGAGATCAAAGGTGCTTTTTATTATATCCATTGAAACGTTATCATATCCAGGCGACTTTCCAGATTTAAAAGAGTTGCATATTTGATTTAGTTCCGAAATATTAGTTGGATTTAAGATAAGCGACTCATTAACAGAAGCGCCAAGAAAACTACGAAAAGATACTTGTGTGTCTGGAATTTTCCTTGCTAAATTCGGACCTATGTTGGTGAAGAACTTACAAAAGCAGTTAGCTATTTCTTGTGGATCATTTAACAGTTTTCCATCAGAGAAAAAGGAATTTGGCAGAGCTGCTTTTCTGCTCGGTTTGTTGATTACATCATTGATTAGTTTCCAAGTTTCTTTCAGGTTATTTTTAGCCTTCTCAAATTTTGTATCATAGTACTTTCGTTTAGCAATTTTTATAAGATGATTCAGTTTGTTCCGATAGCGTTTGTATTTTAACTCAGTAGTTGAGTCCCTAGAATTAATGAACTGCTTATAGAGTTTATCTTTTTCCTGATAGAAACAAGCAGAGATTGCGTTATCCAAGGGGAGCGCATTACTTTCTTTGTTTTAAGTTTTATCGTTTTTAATGGAAAGCTTTCATTGTATAATCGAACATACTCACTCACAAAACTATTATAACATTCATTAGTATCGCTTTCATCGAAACGTAAATTCCAATTAACACGAGAAAGAGAGAGCCGAAAATTGCTCTTATTTCTTTCTGAAAAATCTCTTTTAGTGAGATATTTAGTTTGGCTATTTTTCGACGCTATTTCTGTCTCATCCACTTCATAAACAAAAAGGAATCCCATTCCACAGCTTATCACACGGCATGTCTGAAAACCAGCTTGCTGAGCCATTTACCGTGTTTAAATAAAGTTGATTGATTGATTGATTGATTGATTGATTTAGCTCCACGAACTTTAAAAGAACGCCCCCCCCCCCCCTTCCGTTTCTCTATTATAAAATGGACATACCAAATTAAATTAAATTAACTTAAATTAAACCGTGAAAGGAATAAAATATAGGGTGAAGATATGACCAACGATGCTGTAATCGCAATTTCAGGGTTAAGCATGTATATACTTACTTGTGCATACTGGTTGTTGTCCTGTCCATGAGCCGTTTGGTTGACACTTACGATCTTCGGAACCCATCAACTCATAACCAAATTCACAGCCAAAGTAAACTTTGCTGTTAACAGAGTAGGTCACTCCTACTTTTCGTCCGTTTTTAGGAGTACCAGGGTCTCCACAGCCACCCACTGTAACGAAATAACAAACAAACAAATCAAACATAACTCATCAAAAAAATAGCGGAAAAACTGAGAATTTTATTCAAAGAAGTTCGTACATAATTGCCATAAAAACTTTGTCTATCTCACGTTGAAGATAAACAATTACACAAATGAGGCTATACTACCATTAGATAGGATAGTAACAGAAACCTATTTCAAATATGGCGATCCAATTCATTATCGACGATGTTCAGCTACGCTCAGTTACAGCAATCGCGCCGAAATTAGCCAGCCTGTCTGTGAAATCACCGTGTACAGTGACGTCACAGTGACGGCGCAAAAGTCTGGTATAGTGTGAACATAGTCTAATTTGTTTTAAATGAAAATAGGAGAACACGTGCTACGTTAGTATAAACTTACCTGAGCATTTGAAGGGAAGCACAGTCCATTTTCCTTGAAAGCACATTTGAGTGGCAATACCTTCTTCGTTGTAACCTTCATTGCACTTAAATGTCACCTTGTAACCAGAATTGTACGTATCACTTGGATTTGATATGTTTGCATTTCTTGGAATCGCTGGAGCCGAGCAGTCCTTCACTGAAAATTAATCAATTAAAACATCCATGGACCCCTACTTTGAGAAATAGCTTATTTTGTTATGAGTTGCGCGCAACTACGTTTCACTAATAGGATTCAAAGCACCCTGAAGAGCGAGCAGAACCTTTTCGAGTTTGTCTTTTGCGACAAAGTCTCTACCAAAATCATGCCAGGGGCAGGTTTCTCGAAATGCCCCTGTAATCTCTCGGACCCCAAATCAATTATTTAAATAAAAATCTAATAAATAAAAGCGCAGGTCTTAGCTGGAAACCAGAGTATTTAGTTTTGTTAACTAGTGATGGTTTTATCGTGTTATCTGCAAAAATATTGAAACCTCCACCTTGAGTGTCTGCTTTCCTTGTAGAAAAAATGCACGGGTCATCCTCGGGAAAGGGATAAGTTGTTACTTAGTTAAGGTTTAGTAGGCTTACAAGAAGCTATACTCACTGCATGTCGGGGTAATTCCACTCCATCTCTTCTTCGCTGTACACCTCTTTACCGGAAAAATTGTGTTTAAGCTGTACCCTTTATTACAAGTATAATGAGCTGTACTGTTGTACTTTGTTCCGTTAAATGTAAGTTTTCCATTGGTTATCGCAGGAGGGTTTCCACAAGACATATCTGTCAAGTCAAAAGTCAAAAGAAGTTTAAGGTTCACAGATACGTTTGTAGACAAATCACGTGATGTAAAATCGGAGTTGTCCGGGGATATTACACGTCTGAAGTTATTTCAATGACACAGTTGGAATCAAGCTAAGTCGTTAAATAGCAAATAATCCTTTAATTTATTTTAATTCTCCTCAAACATCCTGGAAGATTTCGTAGCCATTACGTTACGTGATCTCTTAAAAAAAAAACAAGTAAACTCAAATATCTGGTACACAGAAATTTGTTTAACAATTTAAAAAAATGGTTTGGACCTTGACGATTTTTAATTCTTATTTCTCGACCCCAAGAAACATTAGGAGAATGGACACAACCTTTTGGTGGGACGATCACTGCGGTAGTTTGGATGGACAGGTGTTAGTTACGATTGATTAAATGGTCGCCTTTAAATACACACAACGAATCACAAACGACCCAGAAATCTTTGCGTTGAGAGCTTGTCCCCCTTTTCCACTATAGTTAATGGAGTAGTGAATAATAGAAAATGACAGGCTTGTACGAATGGTAGTCACATCCTAAGACATCAGTTGCTCGGGAACAAAATTTTTTGGTGGAATTAGCACCGTTTCTTGTTGGCTGAATTCTAACCTTTTTCGACGCAACTATAACCACAAGTTCCATCGCAGAGACATAGGTCGTTTGAAGAACGACAGCCACTCTCAGGAGCACATTCTTCAGTGCACTTAGTCAGCGGTGCACGGACGGTCCTCTTACACGCGTGAGTGCCTCAACAAAAACGAGACAAAAAATTAAAATTCGCCTCAACTATTAATTTTTGCGGTAACTAAGGTAAAATGAGTATTTACAAGAGTTTGTTAGTTCTTTACAAAATTAAGGGTTTAAAACTATTAAGGAGAAAAAGATATCTCTCTTTTTACCACCTTATCCACAATGAGAACATTTACAAGAATACACGCTTTCAATCCAAACCCGGCCGGGTAATAAGAGTTCAGTTTTGTCGGTGGCGCAGGCGACAGTTAAAGAGTCACGACATTGTTACAAGATTCTCCAAACATGTTCTAAGATGAAAGCCTCACAGTGAGTGCTTATAGGGGAATGGTATGCCCTTGAGAAGGGATAGGCTATATAAAACCTCTACTGGAGTTGCAAGTCCATGTTATGATTGTTAATTTTGTAACTCTCTTGTACTGCGACGTATTGTATAGCATAACACCACGCTATTTTATATTACGGTAACGGAATAGCCTGAAAGGCTGCACATTTTTCCTCCTTACTTCTTCGTACAATTTCTTTCAAAAAAATTGCCGGGCCAGTTTCAGCGGTTTTTGGCATAGGAAGGGATTTCTGTATTTTTAAGATCGTGGCTTTTAAGTGTTATCGTAAACTTTTACTCATCCGTAACTGTTCTCTTTTGTCCTTGCAAAGTGCCTGAAATCTTTCAGTTATTTCCCACATCCTAGTTTTCATACCGTAAAAGTCAGTTTCGATGACGAATTAAGGCACCAAAAATGATTTTCAACTAGTTTTGTTTTGCGAATATCTTAATAGTGGATTTCCGCTAATTTATATATTTTTTTATAGATTTTTACCTTCGCATTCAAAAGGGAATTGTGCCCATCTTCCACTGATACAAATCCTTACGCTATTGCCTCCTGGTTTTTCCTTAAAACCTTTTTTACAAGCTAATGTGATTGTTTCTCCAGTCTTGTATGTTCGCTCGTAGTTCTCGGGTATGGAAATGTACATGGAAAACGGAATATCTGGTACTGTGCACACTTGTACTAAAACAAAAACAATAAAAATTACAGTTTTCTTTAATGAAATAAAAAGGATTAACAATAATCAAAAGACGTCCTTTACTATATCATTCTACAATCGATTTGTATTTGTTAGCTCATTTTGTGTGTATTTGTCAGCCCATTTTGTGAGTCTTGTACCGAGGAAAACTAAACCTGCAGAGATTTGTTTCAGGTTAGGTATTTTTTAAAGTCGCCTGCCATGAACACTTTTTCTTACTTGAGAACTGCTCCTGCAAACTTTTTCAAGGCTTCCGTTGGCCTTATCCTAAATAATCTCGCTAACACTTTCAAGTCCGGTGCTACTGTGATATGGGGATCCCCGCGTTATGGGAATCCTCATTCCCAAAACCCTAGTGATATTGGCATCCCCTGTAACCCTAATCAAAATCGCTAAGGTAATATGAAAAGGGAATGCCCATGCATATCACTAGGGTTTTGGGAATGAAGATGGCAATAACGTGGAGATGCCCATATCACTGTAACACAGGATGTCTAACCTAGTGTCCAAATCTCCTCCACAAGTGATCTGGGTACGAGATTTCTGGTCCGAAACGTCATCTACGAACGAGTCTGGGGGCGGTTGCACAAAATTAACGTCAGAAGTAACTGCTAGCGTCCGGCGCCTGTAAACTCTATCAAAAGCAATGACCACTTAAACCCCGAGTAGCATTCAGTATATTGTTATTACATACAAAGAAAGCGCGCGAGACTAAAGAAGGGACCTACTTACAGCAGCTGGGGCCCACTCCATCCCATCCTCCGATCGCTCGACAAGTTCTCGTAGAGGCACCAGATAATGTGTAACCTTGGTTACAGACATACGTAACAACAGCACCGAAATTGGTGGACGGGTAATTGGGTGTTGCTTTAGAAACAGGCGGAGGGCTTCCACAAGATAAATCTATTAAAGATCCAAACAAAACAAAGGGTAAAGCAAAATAACAACACCGAAACCAAAAGGAATAATTGCCTCCGCAGAAATGTACCCAGTCAAAGCCAGGTTCACGTCGTTAAAATTTGAGTTCATCTTTCCTTCCCCCCTCACATTAACATTAACATTTGCTAACCAGCCGGTAAGGCCATCACTAAGTAACCATATATAAACACGTAGACGGAACAGAAAACACAACGATCTCTGCCATGCTCGTTTTCACAAACACAAACTCTTGGCGCTCAATACCACTGAGCTTACACACCACAGTCCTACATACATTTTGAATTTTTTTTTATTTAGCAAAGTGCGTTTGACGTGATTACAGGTTTTATCAATTTTATCCAAATAACTTTGTCTCTCCTTTTAAACCCAAAGGTGAATAAACTCTCAGGTCCCATGCTTAAAAGTGCCCTCGTTGTCAAAGCAACAACCGTTGTGTTGTGGTTTCTTCGGCCTATTACGGGAGCGCGCGAGCGGAGTTTTTACCATTGGGGGGCAATTCTGAGGCCAGGATATTTCGTCCCACAGTATAACACAAGTATAAATTGGGAACCTTTTAGAATATCTTCCACTATTAGCATGCGCATCAGAAATAAAAGGCACCATGTTGGCGAAGGACGCGCCTGTCCCTCTAGACCTACATGTATGGCATCAAAAACAGGTTACAAAGGTGTACACCCAAACTTTTGCTTTTACTTCTCTGTTAGGTAATCAAGAGACGTTCCAACGATATGTTGTGGTGGAAAATGCAAACTAATCCTATTTAGCTGTGCTATAAGTTAACAAAGTGACGTGAATTAATTTGGGGTCTACTATTTACCGCATACCTTTCCTTACACAACTGTAACCACAGTCGCCATCACAAAGACACTTTTCCTCAGATGCATCACAGCCAACAGAAGGCTCGCATTTTTTTGTGCACTTTGTAACCGGTGAACGATTTGTGCGGACGCAACTTGATTGGCCTTAAAGAGAGAAAGTAAAAAAAAAAAATACTGTGAAAATTAACACTAAAGGTGAGTGCATTCCATTAGGGGGGATCTTGGTTAAAAGACTTGCTTTTCGTTTATTTCTGCGATTTTTATTCCAAATCAAACCAAAATTCCATCCAGTCAAAAATGGCTCCATAAGGTCGTCGTGATTGGTTCAATAAATGTTTGAGACTTTTTCGAATGTTAGATTGGTTACCAGTTTTTCAGTTTATAAATTGGTGATCCTGCGTACCTTGCAGAATTTGTTTTGCACGTGCAAGAGCCTTGGCGGTGAAGCACCTCCTCACCGCTCTCAAAACGGCTTCACAGGTCCTTTGCCAAACCTTTGCTCGCGCTACTGATCCCGCCAGCCACGCGGGCTATAAAAGGAAATAAAAGAGACAGCCGCCCTCCCCACCCCTGTAAAAAGGCACGAAACAGCCCAACCTCGAATAAGCGCCTATCATGTGTGAAGGAAAAGTTACTAATCGCCCAGCCTCGAATAAGCGCCGACCCCACCCACAGCTAAATGCTACTCAACTGATTCGCTCTCCCACTGGAGTAACGCTCTCTTCATCGACGTTACTTGATGTTATTGTGCTTTGAAATCCTGAGTTAGTGTATACAAGTGGGATTCTTGATGTCACGATCAGCGACCATTTTTTGGTGTAAGCAGTATTCCATTTGAAAGTTCCAAAGCCTTATCTCCCACGATAGTTACTCGTAGTTCCAAGAGATATGCGGACGCTCAAGCGTTTAATAACGATATTCCTTGGGACATTGTGAACCTTTCAATGGGAGTGTATGAGAAGGTGGACAAGTTTAATGATCTCCTTCTCAATTGTCTGGGTCAATATGTACCTATAATATCTTTCAAACTCCAACACAAATCCCATCCTTGTTTTAATGGTGAGATTAAACAACGCATCATTGCTAGGAAAAAGTTGCACAGTAAGGCTCGCAGAAGAATGTCTATTCAAAGAAGCCGTAAAGAACCTCCGTTTTTAGTGATTTTTAATCATTTTATATTGAAATAAACGTATACATACCCCTTTTTTATTTCCTTCGTTCTACATGTAATTTGTAACAAAATTTCTATCCATATTTGTATTGTAAATCTAAGTTCTGAAAAACCCATTTGCGAGAAACTCATAAACCTTTTTGTATTGTACGCGGGAAAACGAGGGGAGGGGAGACTGGTTATTATTTCGATACTGCCAATTTCGTTCTCGTCGACTGACCCGACCCATTTGCCGGACGTTACGCTGTGAGACCTCCACGAGGCAACACCAGAGAGTTGATCGCATACTGACCTTTCTGGCGTTGAGATACAAATTGACTAGGTACTGCTCTTGAGAGACTTTCCCGAAGACCGAATTCTTAGTCTTTTCTTAAATAAACTTTTTAATGAACAGTTATAATTCTTCTCTGGCACATCTTCACGTTTGGTTTTAATAACTGTTTTGGTGGAAAATTAAATTACGTCTTACTGAAAATGATGAAAATTTAATAACCTCCTAGCCTCGAACGAGCGCCCACCTCGAATAAGCTCCGATATCCTCTCTTTACCCTACGGGTTGATTAATCTGATTGTGGGGAGAAAGAAAGCCTCTTAAATCTTTTGATACGGCCAAGATTCACGAGCGACAACTTGTGAAGAGGTCGAAAATTACAGTTTGTTGTTACTGTTTTTGAAAAAAAAAAAAGAATGTTATTAAGTTGCATGATTTTTTATTCCTGCCATTATCGTAGAAGAACGTCAAAGTGGAGTATAAATTAATATAATGAGAGTGTATGCCCCGGGGTGTATGCCGTTTGTATTTGTTGGCAAAGTTCGAGAAAAATCCTTGTGAGACTTCCGGTCGAAAGGCTAGGTCACAACAAGCAACGCTTGCCTTTACCCTCGGTAATAACTTCTTTATTTGGTAACTTTTGGAAGTGAAATACTACCTGAGTTTAATAATCATAGTACTTCACTTGCCGAATGATAAAAACTCAAAATAAGTCTTAAATGTCCTAAATCGCTGATACACTGATAAGGAAAACTCAGGCAAAGCATATTACGCCGGTTGAGGAATCTATTTTAAAAGCGTTTTGCGTACCCCGGATTTGAAGACTCCTGATAAAATTCAGCTGTATTTATCTACAAAGACATTACCACAAACTTAATATGGCCTCTATGCTCTTACATGCTTGTGGCCGTACGGGAACACAACGAAACTGCACAACTATGAACAAGAGGCACGTTTGGTTGAAACACAAACTGCTCACCTTTAGTCAAACGAGAGACGAGCAAACACAGCATACATGAGGCGAGGAGCCATGTCATCTTCATCTTGTTCTTCAACTTATTACAAAATTTTAAACAAGGAATCGTCGCTGCTTGTTAACTGCGACGCAATACGTGAAAGCCACCGGATTATACGATAAGATGATCATGGAAGGAAATTGAGCTTGAGGTGACGAAAGGTCACGCAATCTTCTCATAGTCTTGACACAGACAGCGGGAGGTCTCAGGCCTCCTAGCTACAATCTTGGACAAATGGAACAGCAAACCCCCATCCCCCGCAAATTAAGGATAAAGCCGCACAAAAAACGTGCCATTTTTCCATCTTTGATTTGGAGGGGAGGGGGGTACAAAGTTCCCGTCTATTTTGTCCAAGATTGTAGATTAGCTTTTTAGCTATTTTCTAGGTGGCTTGTACCTTACACCCCGGGACCTTACATATAAATAAGTAGTATTGTGTAATGATTTTTTTCCTTTGTGTCGTATAAATAAAGTTCTTGTCTTGTCTTGTGTTAGTGGTTCATACGCTTAGCTCTCTGCCCTGTTCAGTTAGCAGATGTTTCTTTTCGTCTTTCAACATCTACGAAAGTCGTCTACGCCGCTGATATTCGCTAAACAACCCAGCCTCGAGAATGTCAGCTGTGCGAACGACTTCCAAAATGCTAAAAGCCACGACAGAAAGAAACCTCTGCTAGCAGATGTTCGCTCTGGGACACTTAGGAAGGTAATGTAATACGACTATTACTCGCTATCCTTTTTCACCCTTGAACTCTGTATATTTTATTGGCGCTAGGCCATGCTCATCAGGTCTTAAAATAAAAAATGTTTCATCCAAGACGGATTCCGACGGATTACTGTGCGCGTGATTCAGGAGATAGCAAATCTTCAAAACACGCGTGCTTACTTTCTATAATGTCCAAAACGGGAAGGCTTCGCCGAACAATAAAAACTGAAACCTCAACAAATGGTGAAGTGAAAAATAAAAACGAAATCAGTATGTGAAACCCCTGGACTTCCGTAGGTACGTTTTCGTCACTAAAGAGTGGGATTTCAAGAGTTAGAGTGTATAAAAGGTCTTTAGAGAGCCTGTTCACAGGCTAGGTTTCAAAGGGCCTTAAATTGTAATATTTCGAACATATTTCCGTAACATGTTAATTTATTAAACGCTACAAATAAGGAAAAGAAGTGAAAGGGGCACCATTTCGTAATGTTAACAACCCTATCCTAGATAGAGTCGCCATTTTTCAGAAAATACTGAGGAGTAAGCTTTCTTTGCTATTAAACTGGGTGCTTAGTACTCTGAGTTGCGGGTAAATTAAAATTTTCTGATATTCTTTTCTTTTTGTGTGTGTGTCAATTCCCGGTATCTCTAGTCTTGACTAAATCTTCTAGGAGTCAATTTCCTGAAAAACGATCAGCTATACTACACCCAAACTCTCTACATACGCTATTCCAGACTAAGCTGCTTGAACACCATAACCTTCAAAGCGGTAAATACCTATATATACTGCAGCACTACTTTCCCCTTTCCCAAGGTCCGTACCTCTTACCTGCCCGATGTATCAAAAGACCCAAAATCCCACACAGGTCATAATAATTTTAATAGGGCGTGCGTCCTGAGTCTGCGTGTTGCAGCCATGACTTGTCTCTTGAATTTCCCTGTTCATAAAAACTCGGGGATTCACGATATACTTCCTGTGACGCAGACTAGCGATAGCTCGATCGCTCGAATGTTCTAAAGTCTAAAATGTGTTTGAAGAATATCCTAATTTAATGATTTTGAATCTGTGATAATAACTACATTCAATGTCTGCAATGTTGCCTGCCCATTAAATAGATCCAAACGAATTAATGAATACATTTCTACACAATATAAATACCCCAATTGTGCGCGTATGATTATTTCAAATGCTGACGGTCATTTTCCATTAGACAGTGGTATGGAGCAAGGGTGGTTTGTGCGCGGCCTTCGGTGCGCGACGTCCCAAGTTCGATCCCCGGTGACATCACATCCTTGTTTCAACTTCTCTACATTCTGTGCAGCTTTGACTAGCTTTAAATACCATTAAAACGGAGCATAGATTGAAAGAGGGGGTAAAATGAGTGCACTATCGACCTCAAGTTTATCAGTTATTACTGTCACGAGTTATCGGTGTAAAATGTGGTTGCCTTGCCCTTTTTTACCTTTTATGGCACCCGAAAGCACGTCAGTATATAGGTGAACTAAGAGAGCCGCTTGTTCGAACCTTAATGGTTGAGGATATGTGGTTATGCGCAATGATAGAGACGCCGCGAAATTAACTTTCCCCTCCCCCAGTTTTAGTTTACTGGTGGCTGTGGATGTGTGCTTATGCGCAATGATAGAGACGCTGCGGAATTAACTTTCCCCCCCCCCCCAGTTTTAGCTTACCTGCTGGCTGTGGATGTGTGCTTATGCGCAATGATAGAGACGCCACGAAATTAACTTTCCCCCCACCCCTCCCCCCAAGTTTTAGCTTACCTGCTGGCTGTGGATGTGTGCTTATGTGCAATGATAGCTAGAGACGCCACGAAATTAATTTTCCTCCCTTCTCCCCAGTTTTAGCTTACCTGCTGGCTGTGGATGTGCACTTATGCGCAATGATAGAGACGCCACGAAACTAGTGGTCATAGCTCCTCCCACAAGTCTCCTGTAGCTCAGTGGTAGAGCACATGCATTAGTAACCAAAAAGACATAGGTTTGATCATGCCCCATGTAAGGGAATTCGGAGTCCAGAATCCGGGAAATTTTTGCTTGTGGCCTCCGGAATCCTGAGCTTTGGAGTCCGGAATACAGTTCAAGAATCCCACTAACGATTGGAATCCGGAATCCAAGTTCCACTGACGAAGATCGGTTATTCAGTACCTGAATAAGGAATCCACGGCGTGGAATCCAGAATCAAGACTGCCTGGGATTCCCTTACATGGTGTGATCGACTCCCCCCATTGGGACTCGGTAGGTAGACGGATTTTTTATTCCGAACCAGCTGCGTAACTGACGGAAAAAAAAAACCTTCATTCTTATTGTTATTATCAATTATTTAATAAAAATATTATTATTAGTGAAAACAATTATAACATCAAAATAATACACTAAATCCACGCTTACTTAACCTGGATTAGAAATTGGACTTCAAAAGAAAAATTAATTCAATGTGCACTTTCCGCTTTAAGTTTTTCATATTTACCTGGAGTTATAAAAACCGGGTTAGCAAACATTTTGTAATTTTTCTAAACTTCCCCTGTCTAATAGCTTGTTTCACAGTGTTGTTTGCTTATGTCGTTTTTTTGCTTGTTTTGTGGTTAGGGATTTGTGTAGAAGTGGATGCAGAAAGAATTGCTATCTAGCCCCCCCCCCCCCTCCTTGTTTTTTCCCTACCCACAATTCTTTGTTTGACACAAGTGACAGTTTGAAATCAGTGTGCGCCTAAAGCTGGTTTGGATGCCGTTTAGCGCAGTTTACTTGTTTACTTTTAGATATTGGTCACCTTGAGCAAAGTTTCTCGGAGAGCATCATGTGAAGCTCTGACATGGGACAAAGTTATTATGATTCGCAATATCGTATTATATTGTCGTTTCATTTGGCTAAACGGATCAATCACCCTGATCCGGGCTGAGACAGAAAGGTACGATATTGTTCGCTTTTCTAAGGTGACCACTAAGTCTTTAATTTGGCCTCGGGAACAGGCTCTTAGGAGTCAAATGAATTAGGTGCGAACAAAATTGCAGGTGAACTTTGACCCGGGTTTTTTGCTGGTGTGAAAACAAGGCTGAGGTGATCGGCCGACCGTGTGACTCATTATTCGGGAACTTGAATAAGACGAGTTTATGTGGAAATAGCAGAGTCTTTCCTAGTTATTCGATGATATTTCGCCTATATGTTAAACGTGAGAAGATTATGCGTGGTTGTGGATAGTCTTAACAGTGCCGCGAAAGTGTGTGATTGTGTGATTTCCACATGGTGTTGACAGGTATGTGATCGCGTGCAGAGGTGGATCGAGGAGGAGGGTGCAGGGGGTGCCCCCCCTCTGAGATGACCTGCGGTTTTCTAATACAACTGGTATTCTGCAAAAAAAAAACTATGTGGTTTATTGGTGTTGAAGTAGAGCAAGAGACGAGTGCACCCCCTCCTGAAAAGAATCCTGGACCCCCCTTCCCCCGGCGCGTGGTTGAATTGCGGTTTGGCCAACATATTCTGTGCTGGCCATTAATATTGTTTCGTCGGTGTTTAGCTTAGCTGATTGTACCATGGAAAAGTGACTCTCGACTCAGGAAAACTGGATCTAGGTCTAGTTTCAGCGGGCTCTAATGGCATTGAACCATAGGCCGATTTTTGAAGATAAGAAAGTAAGTGATAGTTTGTGCACTACGTTTCATTCAGTTTGTTGTCTATTCCATGCGGAATGCTGTTGTTTATCGAACCGCGAAAAAAGTAGTGTAAGCCTTAACCAGGCACTCTTTCGCTGCAGTTCACTCAGCTTAAAAATTTCTAAACTGAAATGACACCTGTTTGGAATTTCGCAAAGTCAGTTTACTGAATAAATGTTCTAAAATTTGCGTCATTTTAAATTTGGGGTCGTTCGAATGTTTCTAGGGACCATTAACTTACTGCCCAGCGTCAGATAAAGGCTTTTAATCGGCCTTTGAATGAGTTTTATTGTTTTAAAATGCCAAGTAGTAGAATGAGTTTATATTTTTGCCAACCCGGTTTTCAAAAATTCAGGTATATATTAGGGAGCTGATATTTATTTTGTTGAGCTTATTGTTAAACACAAGTAGACAAAAACCAAACGCTTGTATCAAACGCATTTTTAGTCAATTTTGACTGCATTTTTGTCTCCAAAAACGAAGTGAACGTTCCTCAAACAAGAAGCATACACGCTACTTACTGTCCTGTTCAAGTAAACTAGCCAAACCCTAGACAAATATTTCGCGAATGTGAGTTTTCTGTCAAATTTTACTTGTTGTATAAAGTTCATTTTTGGGACAAAAGTCGGGTGACGTTAAATAATTTCTTTGCTTAAGAGTAATCTTCGTCATCTCCATACGTCAGTTCAAAAGGTATTTTTCCACTGTGTTCTTCCCATCCACCAGGCCCGCGGTCTTCTGATCCAGCGGAATTCATTCCACCACCTGAGTGCATTACCCAGCCTTCTCCAGAGCCGGAATACCCTGCATAGATTTCTGGAAAGGAAACAAAATATGATCTGCTTTAATATCCTCACCACTAACTCTTATCTTTGGCAACTTAAGTTCAAAGCTTTTGAATTAAGGATAAGAATGCAGTCAATTGCCAACTCATATTCCCATGATATTGACTTAAGGTTGCCGCGATTCTCCAAATTACCTCCTGACATCCATTTAAAAGGAGGTTTTTTGACTTTTACCATAAAGTTATAATAGATTTTGATGAAGCTTTGCTTAGTACTGATCTATCACAAAGTTTTGAGAATACTGTGATGAAATAAAGTTGATTAAGTAATTTAAAGATGGATCGATTGATTGATTCAAATATTTTTTTTCTTCAAAGGCCCCTGAGACTGTTTTGCAGCAAAAAAGGTGATTATGTTTTCTACAGATCTTGAGCCGGATATTTTAGTTATTCTGAAGTGTACCCCGGTCTGCTCCAGGCCTCCTCTTTTCTCGCTATTGTTTCTATTGCTTGTACACTTCATAGGCCGTGTTCACACTACAGTATACCGGATAGGTTTTCAAGCCGACGCGACAAGCTATCCGGTATCTGAGTATAAACACTTATCAGATGCGCGGTGACTTTTGAATTCAGAGATGGACGCGGCGAGCGGCTTCGCTCCGTACCGAAATCGTGCAGAAAAGTCCATTTGTGTGAACAGAAGCCCAGCTATCCGGTACAGTCTGAACATAGCCTTAGTGTTGTAAGCACTTACCGTTTTCCGGACATTTTCGTTTCCTGCATAGTTTTATATCCACTCCTTCGTTTTTATCGCACTCTCGGCCACCATTCTGAGGTTTGGGCGAGTCACATTTTCGCGTACGTGACTTCATTCCAATTCCACAAGTCCTGTTGCAATCTGTCCAGTCACTCCACCTACCCCATCCTCCGTCCACTAGATAAATAAATTGTAATTACGTGGTATATAAATTCAATATGTGGATCGTGAAATGATTGAGTGAGTAATGCAATGCCAAGGTTTTCAGCTCTTCTTTTGTAGAAAGACAGAGTCACTAACATATTATACCACACAAGGATTATTTTGAGAACTTTTGTTTTAAGAAAGGGTCGTAAACATTTTCACTTTCACAAACCTTTGCAGCTTGGCTTGATGCAATCAATAGTTTCCAGTCTTCCACTGTCATTACAGGGCTTGCCACCATTCTGAGGTACGGGTGAGTTACATTTCCGTTCACGTGATCGAAATCCAACGCCACAAGTTACGCTGCAATCTGTCCAGTCACTCCACCTACCCCATCCTCCGTCCACTAGATAAATAAATTGTAATTACGTGGTATATAAATTCAATATCTGGATCGTGAAATGAATGAGTGAAAGCAATGTCAAGGTTTTCACCGTTTCTTTAGTAGAAAGACTGAGTCACTAACATATAATACCACACAAGGTTTATTTTGAGAACTTTTGTTTTAAGAAAGGGTCGTAAACATTTTCACTTTCACAAACCTTTGCAACTTGGCTTGATGCAATCAATAGTTTCCAGTCTTCCACTGTCATTACACGGCTTGCCACCATTCTTAGGTACGGGTGAGTTACATTTCCGTTCACGCGATCGAAATCCAACTCCACAAGTTACGCTGCATTCTGACCAGTTGCCCCAAATCCCCCAGCCTCCATCGACTTGAAATAATAATTAAAAAAAGACTTTAGTTTTTCTTTGTAATAAGATTGTGAATACATATACTTACATAAAGCTGATATATTCCTGCGTTCATAAATAAAACGCATGGGAAGTGAAGAAATTTCGCTAGGATTGTCACCCACGTGAGTCTTTGCAACCAACAACAAAAAAAACAACATTTATTGCCGTAATTTTCTTTTATTAAATTTTTGGGGGGAGCGCAGAAAATGAAAACCCTTATCGTAGCCTGGTACAAAGGCAAGGGGTGGGGGAAGAACTGTGAGATTACGTCAAAAGCAAGACAGACATTTCGCTAATTATAAATATGAAATGCATATATATTTAACATTTCATCTTCATATTTTCGAGGTATTTGCGGGCTAATTTAAAGACCAGCTCCCTGCAGTAATGGGCTTGCTAGCTTAGTTGGTTATCGGTATTGCAGAGGTCTAGGTTCGAATACAGTATCGGCAAGCCTGTATTCTTTCAGGCTTTCTTTTTTGCAACTGCATTAGTTACGTCTTTAACTGCGATGAACTTCTCCGAGTGGTTCCAATAAATAAAATTCATATATTCGTCATTTCATCTTCATCTTTCCCCAGGTATTAGGAACCAATTTGATGAACAGCTCCCAGTTGGCTTGTTAGCTCAATGTGATAGAGCACTGCACCGGTGTTGTAAAGGTCAGCGCTCTAATCCCGGTAAGCCTGAATTTTTCCAGGCTCTCTTTTCTCAACTGCATTAATTGCAATTTAACGTAAACTGAAAGGATCTTCTCTCCATTTATTTTTGACAAATCTGTGTGATGCTAGGTTTTATTTCGACATACATGTACACTAATCAAATATTCCTACCAACAAGCGTCTACTCCCACCTGGTGCAGAGCATCCTTTCAATCCAAGTCTGAGGCACGTAACATTCTTTAATTTAGGCTGATTGTAAACTGAACCGGTTTTTTTCGGGTATATTCGAATAGTGGTTGTCACAATTGGCGGGTCCAAACGGTTGATCTTTAATCTATCTCTTGCTTGGTTTCCATCAAGATCCTACACATAAATAATTACCATTACTATTAATATCATTATTAATTTTGTTTCGTTTATTTCTTTAAAAACCAAAGCCTCAGCTAAAGTATACAAAAGGATAATTCTTAAGGAACTTTGAGATTTTGCGCGAAACCTAATCTCTTCATTTATAAATCTTATTAGATTATTGCCGGGTCTTGCCAAGCTGTGTATCGTAATAGTAGTTAACTTTTTATATGACTTTCTGTAATAGCAGTAGTAGTAGTAGTAGCAGTAGTAAAAGAAAATTACTATTAGTTTAGTAATTTAATATACGGTTTTTAAATGTGGCAACACGCCCTCCATAGAAACCAGCCAAGTGTTGTTGGGGCTAGCGTGCTTCTCCTGTAAAATGAATTTGTTAAATAAGGTATTACCTTCCTGCCTAGAGCATATAAAAATTTGTAGGTTAATTTGGTAACCTACAAATTTTAAGCCGTACCAATGGGATCTCAAAAGTAGCGATTACAACAGCCGTTCGATAAAGCCTGAAAGATTTTTAAGAAAACCACCTAGTCACGGTTGAGTGGCTTTCCATAATAATCTTTGTAAATTTTGAAATATGCTGGGTAGTTATGAAAAAAAGAAAAATTTAAGCTCCGCAATACGTAAAGCAAAGAGTTGTCTTCAGTACATTGGTATTGCAAAGAGGCTTATTTTCTTCATATCTGTAAAGATTGAAAAAAAAATGCAAAGCAAAAATAACTAAGATTCAGATTTCAGTTTTTTATCATAGCTTTTCACTCAAAACAAATTTTACACAGTACAACAACCAAAAGTGGAGGAGAAGCAAATCAGAAAAAAAAACTTATTTTCAAAGAGCGTTTTCCATGACGTCACACATGCCATGTTAGTGTGGCGAACCAACATGCGCAAATTGAACTCTTTTCTTGTTATGGCTTTCTTCTTTACCATTGAACTGGTAAAGCTGCTGGTCACGTGAATTAAAAACGGTTTATACCTCTCATGTTATCATACCTGAGTCTCATCTTCTTTAACATAAGTATTCCATTTTCCTTCCTTGTAATATTTGACGCGAAATTGTGTAACCCATCTCGATAAGTTTGGGCTACCCTGGGTGACGATTCCTGTTATTTTCTTATCTTCGTTTAATTCTATTTCTAGAAATGGTGACGAGTCATTTGAAGCCGAGCACCAGGCGTTCTTTCCATCCTGTCTTGCAAAGGAAGCAATTGTGTTTTTATTCAAGCTTGAGGACGCAGTAATCTTTTTATCTGGGACTTTTTTTCCAAGGTCTGAAAAACAGGCACCTGTAAAAGTAAAAATAATAATTAAGTCGGTAAGGGTCTGGAGACTTCAGTGAAACGATTTTTATGACAGTTCTGAAGCCATATTTATTAACACTTTATCTTTGTCGTCATTACGTCGTAAAGTGTTCATGAAAGAAAAATAGATGTTTCATGATAAGTTTTTATTAGCTTTTTAAATATGATCATTAGCTCTCTAGTTTTAATTGCAACCCGTAATGTAAAAGGCCTTTGCTGTGAATATCAAGTCTTCGTCGTATGGTTTTGCAATCCATTTATTTATTTATTTGTTTATTTATTTATTTATTTATTTATTTATTTATTGCTGTTATTATCAACTGTTATTGAAGTAGATACTGAGAACTGAAAACTTTTTTGGACAGCAACATAACCAAGGAAGTAGATTCTATCTAGGCTGAACAAATCATTATTAATGATTAATTGAATATTTGAAAACAAAAAATTTATCGTCGTTCCTTCTTGTTTTCCCTTTTTTTCAAAAGTAAAAAGGAATGGATGCAGCTGGTCCAGATGACAAAGGATAAGCCGCTAAATTGCGTGAGCGGCCCTACAGGATTTACATTTAAACATTTTTAGACGAATCTGGAATTTTTGTTATGTAAGATCTATTTTTATGGCGGCAAACAATGGTTCATTTAGCATCACATGTGGCAGCAGCATAACGACCAGGTGATGAGGTCAGACCGAGGAAAACTGAATCAGGACTTGGTTTCAATAGGAATTTTTTTCTTAGAACTTCCTGTTTTTATTTATCACACATATTAAGCTGGTAGTAGGTGGAACTAGCAAATGCAGATTTTTTTTGTCTCATTCAAATAAACTGTTTTTCCGTGGTTCTGTATCTTAAACACGGTGATCACAGCCAAAAATCTTAGAGTCTGACCTTTACTAGTCATGGCAGTCAGGTAGCTCGAGACAACATTGGTTTTTGTGCAGTTCTTATGGATCTTAACTGTCAAAATTTGACCAAAAACTTTCAACAACCACTAGCAGATCGAGAACTATAGCACTGACCAATAACAGCAACTTAATATTACAATGTGTACTATGGTGGCTTTAAAACGAAACTCACCATCAACGCTACCGCTGACACATAAAATCCCAAGAAGCCATGAGAAAAAAAGGGCCTTCATAAGGAAGCCTGTTTTGTGCGAACAATGTAACGTTACTCTGTAGACTGTATCGACAAAGAGAAACTGTCTTCGTAACTGAGTTTCTTAAGCAAAACGTTATGAGACGCAACAGGATGTGTTTGAACGTGTCTAACATTTGCTGACGGTGATGAACTCTATTTATAGCTATTGGGTCATGTGTCGAAAAAAACCCGTTAAGTACAGTGTCACGTCTTTAAAAATTTGAATTCACCAGTGTTATTTTCTTTAAAAATAAGGAGCGGTATATTTTATCACGTGCCAAAAAAAGGCCTACAGTATATAAACTGATAGCATGTTCTCTATCAGGCTTTTAAAGTGAATAATAGGTTCCTTAGTTGAGATGCCAACTGATCCTCTGAGAGGGATTATATCCGTGGTACCAACATGGACTTCCCACAAACGTAAACCAAACAGCCTCTCTACAGAGTCTGCTGTGCCAGTTCACAAAAAGGTGAATGTTCAGGAAATCTTTATCGAACGACAACGTACAAAACGCACGCCATCTTGTTTTCACGTTGTAGTCATTGAGTACAAACAAATTTCATCTACCAAATCAAATCAATCACGCAGGCAATACCCTGTTGACAGACTCACACGAAATTATATACCCTGTCTAGCGGCACAACCCTGTATAGACCATATTTGGGAGTTTACCCCTGGGGGTCTTTCAGCTTGTTTTTCCTATCGCGACTTCGTGGTTCAAACAAGTTGACATGTGGACAAGTCTTAAGTGAGAGCAGAGCCGAAACTCAAGATGCCTGGCCACGTTGTTATTGTCGTTTTTTCTTTAATTAGAGATATTTTTCCTTGTTGGCATGGACCCTTCCAGCACTCAAATCTCGCTCCGACCGTGACGAGGCCAATCACTAAGGGACGGACCATTAGAAAAGTTATGGGGGGGGGGGGGGGAAATTTTCGAGCCGCAGGAATTAGTTTTCGTTATCAAATTCCTTGTATGAATTTTTTTTAGGCCATAGCATGAATATTTTTTAGGGTTAATTGGCGTGCAAGAATTTTTTTCATTTAATTTTCCCTTGCGCGATTTTTTTTTTTGTACTCCGCCTCCCCCCCATAAGTTTTCTAATGGTCCGTCCCTAAGCCAAAGCTTTCTCGACCCCTGAACCTGCCAAAGATTCGACAGACTTAACATATCAGTTGACTGAAAATATTTTATCGCAGGGTCGGATCAAAACAACACACGATCGTCTTGGAAGATCATGCGGAATTTCCATTAATGAACCTCAAATCTCCTTATTATCCCCTTACATTCCTAAAAACTCGCTCGGGATAAGGTTACCAAGAAAAGATTACTTTTAGCTTTTTCAATGTGTGAGGTAGAAGGGAAGTCAAGCTCAGTAAAACGTAGAAAGAAAAAATAATAAAACAGCAAAAACAGCGGGAACAGCATCTGTTAGTGGGTACAGTTAGACTGATAATATACAACAATCCGCTTCACCTGGAGTTCTAACATGGAAACAATTTCCTTCGAAATTTGAAGCGGCCAACAGACCAACAATCGTCAAAGCGGGAATATAAGGTGGCCAATATACTGATCTGACAAGGAATTGGATCAGGGAAAGTAAATGTTTTTGTAGGTAATCTTACAAAAAGGTCAAGAGCTGCTTGCTAGGTCTCCTGTCTTGCATAAACCTAAAGACGATATCGCAGTTGTAGACGCAGCCCTAGCCCGGCTTAGCAGTTGCGTAAAGAAAGCTTTTTACGGGATATGAACCCTTGATATCTGTCACGAGAGCTAAACAAATTGAGGGGATAGAGCTAACGAGCCAACTATTATCATTGAGTTGATTCGAAGACGAATAACGGATAAGGTTTATACCGTTGTTAGTTTAATTATTGGTAATGTAGAAAGATCAAGGTGTCTTATTTTACATCGGTCCGGCTGGGCACAGCTCTCAACTGAGTTTTGGGCGCCGTAATTGTGCTTTAATTTCTCCAGACACTTGCTTTAGATTTTCCATATTATTTGTCTGCAATTTTTCCAGAAAATTTTAGTCGGTGGGCTAAAAATTTTCACATAAAAAAAAGTACAGAAAATTTTAAAAAGTGATTCTAGCGCATGTAGCTGCAGTGTAACGCCCTCAAATTTTTTCAGCAGAATCGTAAGGAGTGAAGCTTTAGTTTTAAATTCATGCTTTTTTGCAAAACAGCCGTTTTATGGAAATTATTCGACATTAGATTCTCATCAAACGCTATATTTTGTCACGCTCTTGCCTACTCGTCAATTAATATCAAATGGCTTCCAAGACCTTGACAAGGTGTATTCTTTTCAGATTTCCGTTTTATTTTTTGGTTCAGGGGATAAATCAAACGTAGTTTCAGTTACACATCAGGAAGAGTCCTTGTGACAATTCTTTAAACTGTGAGTTCACTGATTATCAAAAACTCCCCAGAATATAGGAACGTCGGATCTTCATGCACTTTCCACAAACCACTAAGGTGCTTACACAGGCTAGTGCAGAAAGTACTGTTGAACATTTATGTGGCAAATTACTTCTACAGAGACGACCACGTGTTTCTCAGTGTGAACGTCGGGCGCCGTCGGCACGGGAAATACTCAGTTTGCCAGCTTATAGGAGGAGGGTACGCGAAAACAACTACATTTTTGAATTTTGAATGATCCCTGGAATTTAGTTTAGTGGCAAAATGCAACGCGCGTTTCACTAAAAAATCCGCCAGTTAAAAAGTGATGTAAGATCCTGTCGGTGTAAGCATTTCAGTCTCAAACAAGCGCCAGGTCTTGGGGGGATCCCCGGATCCTCCCCCTGGATCCGACACTGCACCAAAGGGACTTTTATCGTGTTTAAAAATGTTTTTTTCGTGTGCAAGTTGTTTGTGAAAAAAAAAATCGAATGTGAGTTGCACTTGAATTGGTTCGTCATTAAAGGCAGTTTAGGATATAAAGAATCCGCAAGCCACAATGAATTTCAGGATTCACACCTTAGAAATGTTTGCTCTGGAGTTCCCGACCCAGAAAAACGAAGGCTAATACCAGATCATCCGATAATTAATTTCCTGCCTATTTCATAATGATCTAATTGATATTTTTATATCCTTTAATTTGGCAAAGAGGTATTTCGCTAATGACATTGGCGGAAATAATTACAAAGTAATCTATGGAAAGCACCTTCCTTTTATATTCTAGTTCACCAGAAATGTTCTGAATAGGGAGGTTTGCCAATATATGAGTGTTTTTGTACCGCGGATTCACGATATAAAAGAATATTTGTATCAAAAAAGAAAACATAAAGTTTGTTTTTGTTTTCCAAAGAAATCAAAGATAATGAATACTTTTACAAAGTTATAGTGAAGGAAGTATGATGTAAAATACTCCACTTTCAAATGTTCTTGACTTCAACTGGTGATGAAAACGGCGAAAAGTGGAAAGGCTCTTTGTAGGAATGCTCCTGCTTTGCTTTTCATCTCAATAACATTGAATCATCTTTGTTTTACAATATGCGTGATGATAATATCATCTTGTTATTCAGGAAGCTTCCAAGGTTATCGCTGGATAAAAGAATGAGATTCTCGTGACGATTTTGTTACAGATCATTAATAAATATCGATTTAAGATAATCAGCGGTTTGCCTTTGAGTTCTTCACTCTATCTATACTTAGCCTGCACTGTCATGACATTTCATTGCAAAGTGGAGAAACTGTTTTAGCTTTTTTGTGCGTGAGGCGCCTTATAGTTTAACAACTAATCCGCTAAATGAACACGCCTGGTTGATTATTTAAATACCGAAAAACTATCAGCAACAAATTGCAATCTCATTTGATATTTTAAGCACCTTTATAGGGTGTAATTATTATTTAAGTTGGCGCCATTAATCAAGCGTTTCATTCAAGACTTCAAGTAAAATAGAGTGACATATTTATTGCCGACCTTGCCAGGTTTAAATCTTTGAAATGAGCTCTTCAGCTGTTGCTCTAGTTTTATCTCTTTCCTTGTTCGCATTATCCAAAGGGTTAACTGAAGAGGCTGAGAAGGAATTTGCCTCTGGTTTGCTTAACGTTTTGGACATGGAACAGGCGCCTAATATATCCAACCATCGCCATGACATTCCTCGATACGTCTTGAATCTTTACAGGGGCAAGCTCCCAAAACTGTCTGACGTCGGCAGAGATGCTTCGTTAGGCAGCACTACAAGAATATACTTTCCACAAGGTAACACTGCCGGATATTGCAAATCCTTTAAAGCGTTTAAGGCATTAAATAGATTGTAATGATCCACATGAGGTGCCAACAATTCTATTTCTTGATAATATGTGTTAGCAGGTATAATGTGTTTGTTTGCATTCATGATTGATTTTAAACAGATCTTGGCAAGAACGAAAGGAGAGTTATCCTTTGGTTTAAATTATCCTGGGGTGGTGTAAGAAGGTCCCACAGAGTACGAAAGGCTGAGTTACATCTTCAAGTGCATTCGGGAGGTTTAGGAACAGTTAAGGTCAGCATTCCTCGCAAGGGGAGGTCTTTGAAGCTAGGAGTTACTGCAGCCACGAAATATTATACCACAACAGCGTCTCCAGGTGTTCATAAATTAACCCAAGGCAGATGGCTGGTAATAAATCTCACTAAAGCTTTGCCTGTTAAGGTCAGGAAAGACATAAAAGATTTACAAGTTATAATTACGACCACTCATCTGCTTAGAATTGCTACAAAAGGGAAAAGAGAACCGTTCCTTGTTGTTTTGACGGATTCGATTGAATCATCAAGTAAGTTTCATCAAATTCTGCCAATGATGATAAGTCAACGTGATGAAGAAAACACAACTGGCAATTTTGACACAACACAGACGCAGGTAAACATTAGAAGAACAAAGCGCTCGGACATCAACTTCTGTCAAAAACGTCGATTATCTGTCCGATTCCGTGACCTGAAATGGGATGATTGGATCATCGCTCCAACACGATTTGGATTCCACTACTGTGACGGTCATTGTCCACGAACCCTGAGC